GAAGATCGAGAAGAGCGCAGGGAGAGGAGAGAGAGGGAGAACATGCGGAATGTGTATGTGTGTTGTGTATGCGGTGAGAGAGAGACAGAGAAAAGGCATAGAGCCTAGAGTAATGTGTGGTCGGGAGCGAAAGAAAAATAGAGAGAGGCTATGCGGTGTGTGGTGGTGTGAGAGAGAGCAGGCCAGGAGAGAGCTGTGATAGCTGTGAGGAGAGGAGAGAGAGAGAGAGAGAGAGAGAAGAGATGAGAGAGAGATAGAGAGAGAGAGAGGGAGAAGATGAGAGAGAGAGAAGAAGAGCTGGGGTGGGTGTGTGTGTTGCAGGAGAGGCTGTTACGTGCGTGTGAGAGAGAGAAGCTCGTGCGGGTGTGTGTGGAGAGAAAGAAGAGGAGAGAGAGAGTAAGTAGTGCGTGCGTTGCGTAGTGTCGTGTGTGGTCATAGAGAGAGAGAGAGAGAGAGAAAGAGAGAGAAAGAGAGAGAGGGAGCTGTGCGTGTGTGTGTGTGTGTGTGTGTGAGAGAGAGAGAGTCACGCGATCACTGTGTAAGTGGATGTCCGGATGCGTAGCCTGTAGGCTAGGCGACCGGCTCCGGACGCGTAGCCACTGCGTTAAAAGTATTGGGACCAGTTACACGCGCAATTTACTCCAAACATGAATTGTCCGATCGCCCAACATACGTTTATGATTATGGTAATGTTTATATACTATATGTCATACGCACGTGGCCATCCCATCCAGATTTATCTTCTCGTTTTCTTGGGCGCCTGCCCGCCATTGTTTACAAACAGACTCACGTTTAGATTACCAAATTTGTACGCACCCCGTATCGCGGTCACGAAATGAGGTACACAAATACAGTGCAAATACTTCATTCGGCGCCAATGTTTACATGCCACAGCGCCATCTCTTGGATGTTTTATAAGTAAATATGGGGATTTTCAATAAAATAATGCGTATTTAATGTATTTACCACGATTTACGTATAGAAACTATATGTTATTTTTACTGATTTCTCCGTATCTTTCCTTGAATTTTTCAAACACATTGTCAACATTATAATTACCTGAATATGTTTAATCTCATAATTTATCAATATGTAACTGTAATATTGTAAAATGTTGTCTATTTAGCTTATGAAGTATAGGTGCATTTAGAACTTATAAGTATTATTATGAAGTAATGTTCATGATTTATATAGATACATGTATACAGTAGTAGTATCAATCCCCCGAGTTTAATAATCGAAACTAATTTGTCATAATTACTGCTTTGATAGTATAGTTTAGTATTATATTATTATGAAAACATTATACTTATAATATCTATTATACGGTATCATAAGAATTACCTCGCCGTACCGCTCGGCAGCTATACCTTCTCTCCAGCAAACATATGAGTAGCATAGTGCTCCCAACGGCGTACCAGGTCCATTCACATAGGTATAAATAAATGTTTATAATGTTCGGAATTTAACTACATGTGCTGATGTGCTAGTTAAATATCATTATACTATAAGTTAATTTCCTTATAACTTCCGACACATTTTTGAGATCATTTTGATATTGATATTTTGATCATTGCAACCACAGCACACACGATAACAACACACACGCGCGCAACGCACCACCACTGCACGCACACACACACGGCAAGCAGCGCTCGGCGCGGCAACTACAAACAGGTGTTGATGGTTTTGCTAAGCGATTCACGTATTCCTATCAAATATGGCCATAGAACAACATTTAACACAAAGTTTCACTGTGTTGGAACTATTGAAAAACTGAGTAAAACTACAATATAGTTTTATTATCTTTCTATTCAGACTTAATAGGAGGCAGGCTAAGACG